AGACCAATTAAAAGGAAAGAAAAGCAAAAAGGGGGAAAAGATAAAAAATAAAAAAATGATAATAATAAAATAAAATAAAATAATTAAAGGCAAAAACAAAAAGGCCAAAGCAAACGGGAAGAAATAAGCAATACAAAGACCAAAGCTACAGCAACAACAAGAACAAGAACAAGAACAAGAACAAGAACAAGAACAAGAACAAGAACAAGAACAAGAACAAGAACAAGAACAAGAACAAGAACAAGAACAAGAACAAGAACAAGAACAAGAACAAGAACAAGAACAAGAACAAGAACAAGAACAAGAACAAGAACAACGACGACGACGACGAGACGGCAACAAACACACACAAAAAGAACACCCGGCTGATAAGGACAAAAGCTGCTTACGATCCTTCAATTGATATTCATTTGCCCTGCCTATCAAGCCCCAGCAGCCCTGAGGCCACAAGTGCTACGAACAGATTTCTGATGATGCTTACCTGCAAGTCGGCAAGCCTGGCTGGTCAGGTTGCTGAGTTTCAACAGCAGGTCTTCGAAGTCAGCCGCCACCACAACATCCTCGTCACTCTCCGTGACCAGTCGAAGTTCTTCTCTGTCCACACCCTTGCCAACACCTACGGCTAGAACACGAACACCTGCCTGTCTCAATGGTTCGGAAGCCTCTTTTAGGCCTTTGGCGTCGGCTGCTGCGGTTTGGGTACCGTCTGTTATCAGCATTGCAATCTTGGGCACGCCCGACCTACTTTGAGCGAAGATATCACTGGCTGTTAGCTCCAGTGCTTTGTCGATTCGTGTCAATCCTCTCTCGTAAGGCAGACTGTCTACAGCTCCATCGAACTCCTTCGGGTCCGTATACTGGCCAAATCGAGCTTTCACTGAGGCCGAGTTACTGTACAGAACCATGGCCGCTCGGCTGCCGTTTGGAGATAGGCCAAAAGTCTTCGCCACTTCCTTGACAAAGTTCTTCTGTTTCTTGTAGTTTGTGCGGCCAATGCTGCCCGAAGAATCGATGATAAATGCCAGATCCACGGGAGTGCTACACGGCGGTGGTGCTAAGGAGAAAGAAAGGCAACATGTCAGACTAGTTGTGGCCATTGAAAAACATGTGAAACGGCCGCCCGGCTTGCTAGGAGAAAATCCCATTCAATTGTGAATTGCCTTTGTCGAGCTCAGGCTTCAGGTGAAAAAACAATCTGTCAAATTGGGAGGCTAGGAGGGCATCGATTGTAAGAGACCCATTTGGAGAGAGCGACTAGTATTGTGCAAAGTTCAAATTGATGCGATTTGCACGCAACGAAAGGAAACTCTGAAAATAAGGTGACAAACTTGTACGTTCCGTTTCGTATTTTGGTCATTATCTTACGAGAAGTCCCGGATGTTCACTTCCATCGAGCGCTCGACCTCCAACAGGTTTTGATAGTAAGTTTTTTTTTTGTTGGTTTTTCTGCTTTTTTTTTTTGTTTTTTTGAACATTAATGGAAAGACCAATTAAAAGGAAAGAAAAGCAAAAAGGGGGAAAAGATAAAAAATAAAAAAATGATAATAATAAAATAAAATAAAATAATTAAAGGCAAAAACAAAAAGGCCAAAGCAAACGGGAAGAAATAAGCAATACAAAGACCAAAGCTACAGCAACAACAAGAACAAGAACAAGAACAAGAACAAGAACAAGAACAAGAACAAGAACAAGAACAAGAACAAGAACAAGAACAAGAACAAGAACAAGAACAAGAACAAGAACAAGAACAAGAACAAGAACAAGAACAAGAACAAGAACAAGAACAAGAACAACGACGACGACGACGAGACGGCAACAAACACACACAAAAAGAACACCCGGCTGATAAGGACAAAAGCTGCTTACGATCCTTCAATTGATATTCATTTGCCCTGCCTATCAAGCCCCAGCAGCCCTGAGGCCACAAGTGCTACGAACAGATTTCTGATGATGCTTACCTGCAAGTCGGCAAGCCTGGCTGGTCAGGTTGCTGAGTTTCAACAGCAGGTCTTCGAAGTCAGCCGCCACCACAACATCCTCGTCACTCTCCGTGACCAGTCGAAGTTCTTCTCTGTCCACACCCTTGCCAACACCTACGGCTAGAACACGAACACCTGCCTGTCTCAATGGTTCGGAAGCCTCTTTTAGGCCTTTGGCGTCGGCTGCTGCGGTTTGGGTACCGTCTGTTATCAGCATTGCAATCTTGGGCACGCCCGACCTACTTTGAGCGAAGATATCACTGGCTGTTAGCTCCAGTGCTTTGTCGATTCGTGTCAATCCTCTCTCGTAAGGCAGACTGTCTACAGCTCCATCGAACTCCTTCGGGTCCGTATACTGGCCAAATCGAGCTTTCACTGAGGCCGAGTTACTGTACAGAACCATGGCCGCTCGGCTGCCGTTTGGAGATAGGCCAAAAGTCTTCGCCACTTCCTTGACAAAGTTCTTCTGTTTCTTGTAGTTTGTGCGGCCAATGCTGCCCGAAGAATCGATGATAAATGCCAGATCCACGGGAGTGCTACACGGCGGTGGTGCTAAGGAGAAAGAAAGGCAACATGTCAGACTAGTTGTGGCCATTGAAAAACATGTGAAACGGCCGCCCGGCTTGCTAGGAGAAAATCCCATTCAATTGTGAATTGCCTTTGTCGAGCTCAGGCTTCAGGTGAAAACAATCTGTCAAATTGGGAGGCTAGGAGGGCATCGATTGTAAGAGACCCATTTGGAGAGAGCGACTAGTATTGTGCAAAGTTCAAATTGATGCGATTTGCACGCAACGAAAGGAAACTCTGAAAATAAGGTGACAAACTTGTACGTTCCGTTTCGTATTTTGGTCATTATCTTACGAGAAGTCCCGGATGTTCACTTCCATCGAGCGCTCGACCTCCAACAGGTTTTGATAGTAAGTATTTTTTTTGTTGGTTTTTCTGCTTTTTGTTTTTTTTTTTTTGAACATTAATGGAAAGACCAATTAAAAGGAAAGAAAAGAAAAAAAGGGGGAAAAGATAAAAAATAAAAAAATGATAATAATAAAATAAAATAAAATAATTAAAGGCAAAAACAAAAAGGCCAAAGCAAACGGGAAGAAATAAGCAATACAAAGACCAAAGCTACAGCAACAACAAGAACAAGAACAAGAACAAGAACAAGAACAAGAACAAGAACAAGAACAAGAACAAGAACAAGAACAAGAACAAGAACAAGAACAAGAACAAGAACAAGAACAAGAACAAGAACAAGAACAAGAACAAGAACAAGAACAAGAACAAGAACAACGACGACGACGACGAGACGGCAACAAACACACACAAAAAGAACACCCGGCTGATAAGGACAAAAGCTGCTTACGATCCTTCAATTGATATTCATTTGCCCTGCCTATCAAGCCCCAGCAGCCCTGAGGCCACAAGTGCTACGAACAGATTTCTGATGATGCTTACCTGCAAGTCGGCAAGCCTGGCTGGTCAGGTTGCTGAGTTTCAACAGCAGGTCTTCGAAGTCAGCCGCCACCACAACATCCTCGTCACTCTCCGTGACCAGTCGAAGTTCTTCTCTGTCCACACCCTTGCCAACACCTACGGCTAGAACACGAACACCTGCCTGTCTCAATGGTTCGGAAGCCTCTTTTAGGCCTTTGGCGTCGGCTGCTGCGGTTTGGGTACCGTCTGTTATCAGCATTGCAATCTTGGGCACGCCCGACCTACTTTGAGCGAAGATATCACTGGCTGTTAGCTCCAGTGCTTTGTCGATTCGTGTCAATCCTCTCTCGTAAGGCAGACTGTCTACAGCTCCATCGAACTCCTTCGGGTCCGTATACTGGCCAAATCGAGCTTTCACTGAGGCCGAGTTACTGTACAGAACCATGGCCGCTCGGCTGCCGTTTGGAGATAGGCCAAAAGTCTTCGCCACTTCCTTGACAAAGTTCTTCTGTTTCTTGTAGTTTGTGCGGCCAATGCTGCCCGAAGAATCGATGATAAATGCCAGATCCACGGGAGTGCTACACGGCGGTGGTGCTAAGGAGAAAGAAAGGCAACATGTCAGACTAGTTGTGGCCATTGAAAAACATGTGAAACGGCCGCCCGGCTTGCTAGGAGAAAATCCCATTCAATTGTGAATTGCCTTTGTCGAGCTCAGGCTTCAGGTGAAAACAATCTGTCAAATTGGGAGGCTAGGAGGGCATCGATTGTAAGAGACCCATTTGGAGAGAGCGACTAGTATTGTGCAAAGTTCAAATTGATGCGATTTGCACGCAACGAAAGGAAACTCTGAAAATAAGGTGACAAACTTGTACGTTCCGTTTCGTATTTTGGTCATTATCTTACGAGAAGTCCCGGATGTTCACTTCCATCGAGCGCTCGACCTCCAACAGGTTTTGATAGTAAGTATTTTTTTTTTTGTTGGTTTTTCTGCTTTTTGTTTTTGTTTTTTGAACATTAATGGAAAGACCAATTAAAAGGAAAGAAAAGCAAAAGGGGGAAAAGATAAAAAATAAAAAAATGATAATAATAAAATAAAATAAAATAATTAAAGGCAAAAACAAAAAGGCCAAAGCAAACGGGAAGAAATAAGCAATACAAAGACCAAAGCTACAGCAACAACAAGAACAAGAACAAGAACAAGAACAAGAACAAGAACAAGAACAAGAACAAGAACAAGAACAAGAACAAGAACAAGAACAAGAACAAGAACAAGAACAAGAACAAGAACAAGAACAAGAACAAGAACAAGAACAAGAACAAGAACAAGAACAAGAACAACGACGACGACGACGAGACGGCAACAAACACACACAAAAAAGAACACCCGGCTGATAAGGACAAAAGCTGCTTACGATCCTTCAATTGATATTCATTTGCCCTGCCTATCAAGCCCCAGCAGCCCTGAGGCCACAAGTGCTACGAACAGATTTCTGATGATGCTTACCTGCAAGTCGGCAAGCCTGGCTGGTCAGGTTGCTGAGTTTCAACAGCAGGTCTTCGAAGTCAGCCGCCACCACAACATCCTCGTCACTCTCCGTGACCAGTCGAAGTTCTTCTCTGTCCACACCCTTGCCAACACCTACGGCTAGAACACGAACACCTGCCTGTCTCAATGGTTCGGAAGCCTCTTTTTAGGCCTTTGGCGTCGGCTGCTGCGGTTTGGGTACCGTCTGTTATCAGCATTGCAATCTTGGGCACGCCCGACCTACTTTGAGCGAAGATATCACTGGCTGTTAGCTCCAGTGCTTTGTCGATTCGTGTCAATCCTCTCTCGTAAGGCAGACTGTCTACAGCTCCATCGAACTCCTTCGGGTCCGTATACTGGCCAAATCGAGCTTTCACTGAGGCCGAGTTACTGTACAGAACCATGGCCGCTCGGCTGCCGTTTGGAGATAGGCCAAAAGTCTTCGCCACTTCCTTGACAAAGTTCTTCTGTTTCTTGTAGTTTTGTGCGGCCAATGCTGCCCGAAGAATCGATGATAAATGCCAGATCCACGGGAGTGCTACACGGCGGTGGTGCTAAGGAGAAAGAAAGGCAACATGTCAGACTAGTTGTGGCCATTGAAAAACATGTGAAACGGCCGCCCGGCTTGCTAGGAGAAAATCCCATTCAATTGTGAATTGCCTTTGTCGAGCTCAGGCTTCAGGTGAAAACAATCTGTCAAATTGGGAGGCTAGGAGGGCATCGATTGTAAGAGACCCATTTGGAGAGAGCGACTAGTATTGTGCAAAGTTCAAATTGATGCGATTTGCACGCAACGAAAGGAAACTCTGAAAATAAGGTGACAAACTTGTACGTTCCGTTTCGTATTTTGGTCATTATCTTACGAGAAGTCCCGGATGTTCACTTCCATCGAGCGCTCGACCTCCAACAGGTTTTGATAGTAAGTATTTTTTTTTGTTGGTTTTTCTGCTTTTGTTTTTTGTTTTTTTGAACATTAATGGAAAGACCAATTAAAAGGAAAGAAAAGCAAAAAGGGGGAAAAGATAAAAAATAAAAAAATGATAATAATAAAAGAAAATAAAATAATTAAAGGCAAAAACAAAAAGGCCAAAGCAAACGGGAAGAAATAAGCAATACAAAGACCAAAGCTACAGCAACAACAAGAACAAGAACAAGAACAAGAACAAGAACAAGAACAAGAACAAGAACAAGAACAAGAACAAGAACAAGAACAAGAACAAGAACAAGAACAAGAACAAGAACAAGAACAAGAACAAGAACAACGACGACGACGACGAGACGGCAACAAACACACACAAAAAGAACACCCGGCTGATAAGGACAAAAGCTGCTTACGATCCTTCAATTGATATTCATTTGCCCTGCCTATCAAGCCCCAGCAGCCCTGAGGCCACAAGTGCTACGAACAGATTTCTGATGATGCTTACCTGCAAGTCGGCAAGCCTGGCTGGTCAGGTTGCTGAGTTTCAACAGCAGGTCTTCGAAGTCAGCCGCCACCACAACATCCTCGTCACTCTCCGTGACCAGTCGAAGTTCTTCTCTGTCCACACCCTTGCCAACACCTACGGCTAGAACACGAACACCTGCCTGTCTCAATGGTTCGGAAGCCTCTTTTAGGCCTTTGGCGTCGGCTGCTGCGGTTTGGGTACCGTCTGTTATCAGCATTGCAATCTTGGGCACGCCCGACCTACTTTGAGCGAAGATATCACTGGCTGTTAGCTCCAGTGCTTTGTCGATTCGTGTCAATCCTCTCTCGTAAGGCAGACTGTCTACAGCTCCATCGAACTCCTTCGGGTCCGTATACTGGCCAAATCGAGCTTTCACTGAGGCCGAGTTACTGTACAGAACCATGGCCGCTCGGCTGCCGTTTGGAGATAGGCCAAAAGTCTTCGCCACTTCCTTGACAAAGTTCTTCTGTTTCTTGTAGTTTGTGCGGCCAATGCTGCCCGAAGAATCGATGATAAATGCCAGATCCACGGGAGTGCTACACGGCGGTGGTGCTAAGGAGAAAGAAAGGCAACATGTCAGACTAGTTGTGGCCATTGAAAAACATGTGAAACGGCCGCCCGGCTTGCTAGGAGAAAATCCCATTCAATTGTGAATTGCCTTTGTCGAGCTCAGGCTTCAGGTGAAAACAATCTGTCAAATTGGGAGGCTAGGAGGGCATCGATTGTAAGAGACCCATTTGGAGAGAGCGACTAGTATTGTGCAAAGTTCAAATTGATGCGATTTGCACGCAACGAAAGGAAACTCTGAAAATAAGGTGACAAACTTGTACGTTCCGTTTCGTATTTTGGTCATTATCTTACGAGAAGTCCCGGATGTTCACTTCCATCGAGCGCTCGACCTCCAACAGGTTTTTTTGATAGTAAGTATTTTTTTTTGTTGGTTTTTCTGCTTTTGTTTTTGTTTTTGAACATTAATGGAAAGACCAATTAAAAGGAAAAAAAAAGCAAAAAGGGGGAAAAGATAAAAAATAAAAAAATGATAATAATAAAATAAAATAAAATAATTAAAGGCAAAAACAAAAAGGCCAAAGCAAACGGGAAGAAATAAGCAATACAAAGACCAAAGCTACAGCAACAACAAGAACAAGAACAAGAACAAGAACAAGAACAAGAACAAGAACAAGAACAAGAACAAGAACAAGAACAAGAACAAGAACAAGAACAAGAACAAGAACAAGAACAAGAACAAGAACAAGAACAACGACGACGACGACGAGACGGCAACAAACACACACAAAAAGAACACCCGGCTGATAAGGACAAAAGCTGCTTACGATCCTTCAATTGATATTCATTTGCCCTGCCTATCAAGCCCCAGCAGCCCTGAGGCCACAAGTGCTACGAACAGATTTCTGATGATGCTTACCTGCAAGTCGGCAAGCCTGGCTGGTCAGGTTGCTGAGTTTCAACAGCAGGTCTTCGAAGTCAGCCGCCACCACAACATCCTCGTCACTCTCCGTGACCAGTCGAAGTTCTTCTCTGTCCACACCCTTGCCAACACCTACGGCTAGAACACGAACACCTGCCTGTCTCAATGGTTCGGAAGCCTCTTTTAGGCCTTTGGCGTCGGCTGCTGCGGTTTGGGTACCGTCTGTTATCAGCATTGCAATCTTGGGCACGCCCGACCTACTTTGAGCGAAGATATCACTGGCTGTTAGCTCCAGTGCTTTGTCGATTCGTGTCAATCCTCTCTCGTAAGGCAGACTGTCTACAGCTCCATCGAACTCCTTCGGGTCCGTATACTGGCCAAATCGAGCTTTCACTGAGGCCGAGTTACTGTACAGAACCATGGCCGCTCGGCTGCCGTTTGGAGATAGGCCAAAAGTCTTCGCCACTTCCTTGACAAAGTTCTTCTGTTTCTTGTAGTTTGTGCGGCCAATGCTGCCCGAAGAATCGATGATAAATGCCAGATCCACGGGAGTGCTACACGGCGGTGGTGCTAAGGAGAAAGAAAGGCAACATGTCAGACTAGTTGTGGCCATTGAAAAACATGTGAAACGGCCGCCCGGCTTGCTAGGAGAAAATCCCATTCAATTGTGAATTGCCTTTGTCGAGCTCAGGCTTCAGGTGAAAACAATCTGTCAAATTGGGAGGCTAGGAGGGCATCGATTGTAAGAGACCCATTTGGAGAGAGCGACTAGTATTGTGCAAAGTTCAAATTGATGCGATTTGCACGCAACGAAAGGAAACTCTGAAAATAAGGTGACAAACTTGTACGTTCCGTTTCGTATTTTGGTCATTATCTTACGAGAAGTCCCGGATGTTCACTTCCATCGAGCGCTCGACCTCCAACTGGTTTTGATTGTAAGTATTTTTTTTAAGTCTCCAGGGCTGGATGAGTTTTTAGATATCTTTAGCTGAAGATATAATAAGAACTTTTGAGAGTTCAGATGGTGGTTTTGTTTTTCCCTGGAGACACTGGAGACATTTTACAAAGCTCTCCTCCGGAGTGTGCCAAATAAGGTAACTCCGAAAGGGAACAAATTCGTTTCGTTGAATTTGTTCATGAATTTAGTCCAATAGCGAGCTTAATGATACTCTAGGACACTTTGTAAAGGCTCCATACTAACCTGAGAAAAGTAATTTCTTTCAATTCTTGGCGCGAACAGGAGAAATTGAAACGGCTTCGACTAGGTTTTTGTGGAAGACTTGAGCCTTCGGTAAGTTGTTTTGTTCTTTGTGTTACGCTTGCGCAGGCGTGTGACGTAATTGTCTTACGGCATTGAAATTCAATTTCTGTCTGTTTTGGTTATCATTTGCTTATCGATTAGTATGCCTTTTGAGGGTGCCTCAGTTATGCAGAGCCTTTTTTTGACATGTTCACTTTGATTGAAGAGGGATGATGTAGTTTCTGCGAGCGCTAACTGGCCGAACAAGGAAAACAGTGTGAAGGCAGCTGCGTCACAACGTGAGGTATTAAAGGGAGCTTTACTCGATTTGTGTTGTGTTAATTCAGTTGCAATGATAATGTACGTGAATTTGGTTTGAAATGATCAGAAAAAGCGACGACGACAAACCGTAAACATTAATGAGATGCAAAAGCTAGTGTTGACCGTGAGACGAGGACTTCATACTCGGCCACTATGGTCAGGTTATTTATGTGAAATTACTCTCAACGTGGATCCGTAGGGAATCGGGGTCGGTGATAATATTACAATATGGTAAAACTGAGGGCGCTATAGTAAAGCGGAATTGAGGAGTTGTGGAAAGGAAGCCTGGAGAAAATTCAGGCTTTAACGGGCAGCTTGCCTGCGAGCATCATTAGCTTTCTTGATTTCCATCAATCAGTGAATGAATCAATGAATTGTTTTTGATCAAAAATGTTGTGTTGTTGATTGTAATTACCCCGGATAGAAATTTAGGTACATTAACATTTTGCCAGTGATTGTCTCAGAAACAAATTATGTTATGTTATGCAACTGATACACAGTTAGGGCAATGAAAGTGAACATGAGATATTTTACTGAGGAGAGCAGTCTATTTGCAAAAAGTGGAAATAAAATAAATTTAGATGACCAGGAGATGGCTTAACAACTTACGAATTGGTTTTCTCAGGTTAATTGCAGCTAAAGTCATCATAGGTACATAGCTCTTAAGAAATCTAGCCTAAATAGTATTTGGGGGCACAGGAAGAAGTAAAGATGGGGCAAAAGAGTTTAAAGGTGCTTAACTAGTTTCAAAAAGCAGAACCGACATAAGATTTTCCAAAAATAAGCATAAGCATTTGTTCACCTGAAATGACCATGGGGTAATAAAGAGACAGAGGAGCCTCACTCAATGGTAGACAGGGTTCTATGGAAACACTCGATAAATCATAGAACAAAGAGGAATCAGATATTCTAGTATTGAACAACAGAAGGTCTGAAAAAAATGTCTTGTAAACATAAACATCTTTTGTCATTACCTTCAGTAATAACTGACTTAGGCTTTTTCCTTATTTTAGAATGAGGAGATTTAGTTCATCACCTGTAATGTTCCAAATATAAACACCCTTATCTGGTCTTTTTTTCTTTATATTTTTGCTTTTTCGGAGAATTTTTTTGCATCTGAATTTTTTCAGACTTCTTTTCTGTAAGGACTTTTTGTAAACAAACTACAAATATTTTATTATTATTTAGATAGTGGGGTTAAGTTTAAATTTAATAACTTCTCAGGGGCTGGTTTGACTTCTGCTTTCTCTGGGAGGGTAAATTGCCTACATGTTTTGAGGACTCGTAGGAAATTGCACTAACCTGCTTGTTCGCATATCTTTTCACTGATGTTTTCCTTGTTCAAAATCAATTCGCTGTAAGACTCAGCTGTCACAATGTGCTCTTCCTCATCTTCTACAATGATCTTTAGCTCTTCAAGGTCAACTTCTGTGCCAACGCCCAGGGCGATCACCTTGACCCCTGCCCTCCTTAACAGCTCAGAAGCTGCGTCTAGAGCTTTCATATCCTCGCCAGAATTTTGCTTACCGTTCGTCACAACAAATGCTATTTTAGGTATTCCTCTTCTAGCTTGAGGAAGGACTTCTGCCAAGGCGACATCAAACGCTTTGTCCAGTCTTGGCGGACCTTTTTGGAGAGACATTCTATGAATAGCTCTTTCAAATTTATCGGTACTCGATGAATCTTCGAATTGGAAATAAGCAGATGCGGAGTCACTGTACCGTACTACAGCCGCACGACTGGTGTTGTGAGAGATCCCAAAACTCCTTGCGATGGATATTACAAGAGATTTTTGTTTGTCGTAGTTTTCGATACCGATTCCGTCTGAAGAATCCACAAGAAAGATGATATCCATAGCGTAGCCACAGGTTGGTTCCTCGATCGGCTCTACGTGTTAAACAAGAAAATTTTGATTGAAAAAACAAAACTACAGCTGCTAAAGTAAGTTTGTTGTAACGTCAGTCACTACTACCGACAACACTCCTTCTCGGGACTACACCCATCCAGACGATTAGACGACACTATCACATGCCATCAGTTAAGGAAAGTTAAATAGTCATCTTGGACACTCTAAGCTCTTACGTCATATTTCAGTATTGCAACTGTGGTGCTTTGCGGTCTTTGTGCACTCCATGATGGCTATGAGGGGAGGGGAAGAGGAGGTTAGTCCTCCCTCGTCATTTTGTTTTGGATGGGAAGCATTTACGTCCCGAAAAGGTAGATAATATATTATTCACATTTTGTTACCTGCTGCTGCGCAAACTTGCTTTGCTATGTCACGTATCTTTAAAGTCATATCTTGAGAATTCTCAATTTGAAGGAAGTCTTCTTTTCGCGGAACAAGACTGCGCCACTCTTCCACGTTCAAGGCCTCGCCAATCCCTAAAGCAACCGTGCGAACACCTGCCTTAGCGGAAGCATCGAAAGCTTGCTGGAGTTCCAGGGCATTTGGTCCACTTGTTTGACTTCCATCAGTGACGACCACTGCTAACTTCGCCGCACTAGGTCGTGCTTTTGGAAATAGGTCAGTTGTGGCCATATTGATAGCTGTGTCTAGTCGATTATCGTTTACGTCGTCTTTCACTATACTTTGAACAACGCTCAGAAAGTAAGTTATGTTCAAAGAGTCATCGAAGTTTGATTTTATAGAAGGTTTTTCTCCGTAGGTTACAACTGCAGAACGAGTATTATTCCCGAAACTTTTTGCCATGACCTCTACGAAGGCTTTATGCTGTAAAAATTCCTTCTCGTCAAAAGTCTTAGAGGAATCTATCATAAAAAGGATGTCCGCTGGATACTGGCACGGCGGAGGAACTAACAAAAAAGAAATTGAATTTTTATAAAAAATAAGGCGACCAGGTTGGCTAGCGAATAAACAGTATTAGTGTTTTTTCTTTGTCAAGAGCCGATCAGAAACTCTTATCACTTCAAACGCTAAGGTCTTAGAATTTCATTTGAACTCTTAAATCAAATTGGAAGATATTTTTCTTGAAAGAGGTCAAAACCTATGTTCAGTCAAAGTTGAAGGGAAGTTTTGATGATTTTCATTTTGCACTCATTCGCCTCAATTTACGGATCACAACTCCAAATATTGCATATTTGAGAAAATTTGTGATACGCCAAGAGTGACGTGTCGTGGATCAGTGGCGGATCCAGACCTTGACACTTTAATCTCCCTAATCATTCTAAACAGCATATGGCAGTTTGCGGCCTTTCCTTACATCTAGGCAGTTCGGAAAGCCGCAAAACACTAGAACAAAAATTAATCTTCCAAATCGGCACCCTCAATCCCCACCGAATCAACGAGCGCTTTTCATTCAACTAATTTATTCCTGTTTTCTCGTCAACACATTCCCACCAATAGCGTAGCTCCACTTTCTGCATATAAACCCACATATAAACATATTCCCACCAATATTCAACATATTCCCACCAATAGCGTAGCTCCACTTTCTGCATATAAACCCACAGACAACCCACAATTCCTCCAATCGCTCTGACGAAGGGCTAACGCTCGAAACGTCAGCTTTTTTACCCTTTACGGTGGCCAATTTACGTTTTCAACTCAGTTGTTCACACTAAATTACCTAGTAGAGTTATATTGCCTGGCACTATTTGGAAACGTGAAATGCAACTAACAGAGATTAACTGTACTTACCAGCAGCAGAGCACGTGGTCTTTGCCACTTGAACAGAATCCTTCAGCAGAGTTATAAATGAATCCTTAATGACGAGATCATCGTCTTTTTCAACAAGTTGTCGTAAGGATTCGCGTTTTATTTCTGTGCCAATCCCCAAAAGTAACACGCGGATACCTGCCTTCCTCAACGACAACACAGAATCCTGCCATTGTCCATTATTATTCTCTCTCCCATCAATGACGACCAGTGCGATTTTTGCCACCCCCTTTCTTGCCTTTGGAAACACCCTCTTCTCTGCAAGTTTCAGTGCCAGACGGATATCACCTCGTTTATCTTTATATGTTAAGGAGGATAGGGCGTCCTGGAATTCCTTTGTGGATGTGAAAGATTCAAACGATGCACTCACAGAAGCAGACGAATCACTAAAGGTCACGATGGAGGCACGACTCCTTTTTGACGAAATGCCGAAGCTCGTCGCGATTGTTTTTAAAACGGTCTTTAGTCTGAGGAAGTTACCCGCTCCAATGCCTCCTGATCCAAATATAAAAGTCAAATCTGCAGAAATGTCGCATGGCTCTGGAACTGAAAAAAGAAAGTTTGGCGTGAGGGGGAAATATTTTCGGGTAAGGAACTGCCTGTTTAGCGAGTTTGTCCTACGTGCTTTTTAGAACGATTCTCGAAATTCCATAAGTATCATTAGACTTTCCTGAAAAATTTGAAATGGTTGAAAAATATGCAATTGCTGATTATGTCACACGTAAAGTTTTACATCAACAGGTCAGCTTAGAGACTATTGAGACCTGGTCAACCCATATAATTATACTTGTTGTACCTGGCATATTTACATGATCAAACACTGTTTGTAAGTCCAAATCATCCTGATCTAAATATCTAAGAGATCTTAATGTTGGGAAGTTCAACTACGAAATCAAACTCGCACTGATATTGAAACAAAACAGGAAAGATGACTGAAAACCATTTACTTTTAGCGAAACCTGAAACTATTAAAATAGGTTGCTATGGTAAAAAAATGCTGACACATTTAAGGGATTTGTGAACGAAGAAAAAAAATTCGATAATATGTTTTGCCGGGTGATGAATATGATATAATCAACAATTCAACTTATTTGCTCATGCTGACGATTTTAAAATCGGTTTACAAAGATTGAAATGCTACGGATCCATCAATGTGCCATTAGTGACAACTTGAGGCCATTCGTCTCGAACGCTGCACTTTCTCGATATATCTCTACCATTCACTCAATTTTTCACCTGTATATGAAATCTTTACTGTAAGAAAAGCTCTTACCTGCTAGATTACACGTAGATTCGATCAATGCTCCAACTCTGCTGATCAGTTCTGTAAAAGATTTCGCAAGTAAAACATCTTCATCCCTCTCGACTATAAGTCGTAGCTCTTTTTCATCGACTCCAGAACCAACCCCAAGCGCCAATACTCTTACTCCGGCCTTTCGCAACGGTTTGGACACCTCCCTAAGATCTTTCGTATCATCCATTTGGGTTTGTTTTCCATCTGTTATTACCATGGCAATCTGATAGACACCTTTTCGGGCATTTGGGAATACCTCTCGAGTGGCAACCTCCAAGGCTCGGTCGATGCGAGTAAAGCCTCGCTCGTGAGGAAGGGCTTCGACGGCCACTGTAAAGGACGCTGTACTTGAATGGTCCTCAAATCGTATCTTTGTTGACGCTGAGTTGCTAAATAGCACTAGGGCAGCTCGAGACTTATCTTTGGATATTCCAAAGCTTTTGGCAACTGCGTTAATAAAGGCTTTCTCTCTTCGGTAGTTGGTACTCGAAATACTTCCAGATGAGTCCACAAGAAAAGCGATATCTACCTGTGTTCCACAGCGGGGAAGCTCTAAAATTGAATAGTGTTGAAAGGAGTTAGTTGTTCACTTTACAAACAGTATTGTGAAAATAGGAAAGATCAGTTTCATGTGGTTTAAAAACGACAATTCATAAGACAATTAAGTTCCTTCATCTAAAAAAGGTCATTTCTCTTTTAACGGTCAATGATCTTAAGGAGCCCTGGTTTACCCAGTCAAACACTATAAATGTCCGTACAATAATTTTTTCCAACGTTTTGACAGTTCAAACTAATTTCTTACTCATGAGGAGAGCCACGAAGAAAACGGCACATTATTGTGTCATGATTTTTAGTAGATGTTCGTTTTAACCCTTTAACTCCCGGAGGTGATTAACATGTAACTTCTCCCTATATATCCATACAATATACAGCAAACTGGTAATGAGAATACTTCAAGTTATCAGGTAGAGGTTGTTCTCTTGATCTAACGCCAAATTCTTGTAACTTATTAAAAAGGGAATGTGTAATGGCTAGAGGGGAGAATTAACAATCAGATCGTGGGAAATAAAGCACTAATTCAACAATGAACCTACCTTCATTCCCTTTACACGCGCTCTGAAAGAGTGGTTCCACTTTAGATACCAACCCATCAAATGACTCAGCTATCACGACATCCTTTTCGCTACTGGCGATTACTGTAAGCTGGTCCTTGTTCACACGTTTTCCAATTCCTATTGATATGATTCGTACTCCTGCTCTCTTTTTGAGGCGGTCAGAAATCGCAGCAAGAGGAATTTGGTTTGTAGCACTTGTCTGTTCTCCGTCTGTGAGGACGAACGCGATTTTTGGCACCAGAAAGCGGGGTTTTCCTCGACGACTGAACACGTCAAAAAAAGCCATTTGAAGAGCAAGATCTATCCTGGTATAACCTCGTTCATGTCGTAAGCTTTGCACAGCATTTGCAAACGACCCATAGGTAGAGTGATCTGTGAACCTGATCCTTGTGGTTGCTCTTGTACTGTAAACAACAACAGCCGCACGGGATCCTCCCGGGGAAATGTCGAATTTTGAAGCCAGTTCCACGACAAAATTTTTTACCTTTCGGAAGTTTCTAAAAGAAATGCTTCCGGATGAGTCTATCAGGAAAGCGACGTCCACATCAGGTTGACATTCTGTCAGAGAAGATCATGATGAATATAACTGGAAATTATGCTCATAAGAACTATCTACCAGTTTAGTATTTTTGTTCTGCTGCGAGTCAGATCTGGAAAATAAGAATCCCGACAGATTTTAAGCAGTTTTATAAGATATATTCAGAACGCCAAAAACGCTTTGACCGAGAAATTATTGAAGGTATCATCACCAGATGGCACTGAAAAGCACCTTCAGCAAAATAGTAACATAAACTTGCCCAAAAACAATCTTTTGCGGAATTGTGCCTCTTTAAAAATATACTTTTTCGTAAATGACCGTTGGGGGGGGGGGCGGGGAGGGAGGGGGGGCTTCCTACAAAGAGGCTGATGTCGCACTGGATGGATTCGCATTGTCACTACTAGGTTAAATATAATGGAGTTGCAACTTCAATAGAGTTACGAGAATGGGTCGCACATTTTCGGTATTTTGGGAGTAAGAAAATTCTGTTAAGTAGGGATTCAACAATGGGAAGATTGTTGCATTCACCCAAAATGTCTAAGATGAAGTTTATAATTAGCCTTAGAAAAAGCTTCAATAGGGTAGGGGCCAGCGGCACGTACCCAACAAAATGGACTTCGGTAACCCCCCCTCCAATCATGCCAATGAAAGAACGAGAATCATGCTCGCCAGCATGAAAGAGGTGTGTTGGAAATGACAAATAAATCGCATGCAGACTTTTTCATTTGATTGTTTTATTTCGCGGGATTAAATTTTCGGTGAGAAGTCATATTTGCGAATCGAGGACAGGATTGTTTTCATGAATGCAGATATCTCGTGCTGATGCATTATTTCCGTTACTAGTATGACGAGTGAATTTTCGGAAACGTTTTTTTCTTTTTCCCAAAATTCGTTAAGTTAACATTTCTATTACAACAATACCCTAATTAATGAGTTCCATTGCAAATATTTATTCTGGTATAAAACATGAACTTTATTTACTTACCATCGTCAATTTCCTCTGGAATAGGAACAGCTGAAATAACAAAAAAGTATATTGATATATTCTTTATCTTGAACGGCATACCTTTTAGTACAAAGAATGCGTAATACCCTCGGCATAACGATTATCGATGTGACCCACACTTTGCCCACTAGAATGGGGGATTAGGTCGTGCTCAGATTAGCAAATATTCGGGACCAAGCCCTTAACATCGTGTCTTAATCAATCTTGAAAAACAGAGCCTCCATCAAAGGTCCTTTAATCTATAAAAGTTAAATTGCGAGCTTATGGTATTATTTCTCAGTAATGAGAAGAGGGCTGTTACCTAAAAAGCTTTCACATGCACTCTCGGCGATCGGTTGCACTTTTTCTAATAAGTCGTCAAATGTGTCTGCCTGTATGACGTCCTTTTCGTTAGTTGCAATTGTCATAAGTTCTTGGGTTTCGACTTGTTTTCCAACTCCTATTGCAACGATTCGCACTCGTTGATCCTTGATAAGGCGGGCCATCTTTCCAAGAGAGAGTGCTTGGGAGTCTTCCGTCTGTTTTCCATCGGTGAGGAGGAAGGCAACTTTTGGTACTTCATACCGAGAACTGCCTCGTCTGCCGAACAAGTCGTAATAGGCCCTTTGAAGAGCAAGATCTATCCTTGTGAATCCGCGCTCATGTTTTAGGAGTTTCACTGCTCTCCCAAACGAGTCTGCGCTTGTGAAGTCATCAAACTTGATTGCAGTTGTTGCGCCTGTACTGTAGAGAACAACAGCCACACGGGATCCCCCTGGAGAAATGTTGAAGCTCGCAGCGAGGTTTGACACAAATGTTTTCACTTTTTCGTAGTTTTCACGGGAGATGCTTCCCGAGGAGTCCACCAAGAAGGCAATGTCAGCATTAGGATTACATCTTTCTGTGACTGATAATGCAAAAAATGGTTCACACATAAGTCACAATCTATTAGTTGAGATCTGTGATAATCGGGGGAAGATAACTTCTCCATCAAATTGCGTGGATTCCAGGAGCAGTCCTTTTTTTTAGGTTTTGGGATATGTACAGCAGTAGAAACATTACGAGTTGAGGTATATACAACTATCACGTTTTGTCTGAAAGGATCTGATGGTTGCTTCAAGAAAAGTAATTATTCGAGTCTGCCAAGTTACTTAATTAAGTTATGGGGCCCAGAAACGATACAAGTTATGGGCTGGGTTTTTATGCTGTCTCGGGTGTTCGAGCGTTCGCTTGAACGTTAATGAAATGAAACAAAGCTTAAAGTTGCTTAGAAAATAAATACTTCACATTGGTACATACACGAACTCTATTGGCCTATTCGGATATTTAGGGAAACATTCATTGCCTCGAATATTTTCTAAATTCTTTGAATTCATTCCAAGATCAAGATGAAGCTTTTAAGTCCCACTACTGACCTAGACAGAATTTCTCCTTACACTATCAGTACGATATCGAGCAGACAAGTAATGAGAGTAAAGAAAAATATCAATTAGAAAATTATTGGTTGATCCCATCCCAAATTCTCCAAACTAACATCACATGATTTTCATGGTAGACAGTAAGGAGAATTGCCTATGAAATCATGGTAGTTGAAGGGTTAGGGCTATTGTAAATTATCGGTTTAAGTTTCAAGAAAGATAACACGAATATTAATTACGGAGGTATGGGAAAAATCAATTAGAAAAAAAAAAAAATGAGATGATGACAGTGTAAAATTCAGACTAAGAAAAAAACATGAAAGACCTTCTTGGCTTCCATTGCAAGAGCTATGAAATCCAGACCTTAATTCATATCAAAAAAAAAGGAATCAGCGGGTGATTTTGTCTTTGCTTAATTAATTTTGATTTTTGGGATTTTTTCCTGTTACTTTCAGACAGTACAACATATTGCGCTTTTCACTACTCTCCCTTTTGTAATTGTTGGTGGGCTTCTGAGCAAATCATGTGAGCTCAATCATTTCGCCTCATGTCGGTTCTTACAAATGTTTTAATGTAAGCAGTATGAAATTGTTTTACTGGGGTGTGGCGGAGTGTACGGTTTGAACGTGTTTTCTAGAAAGACCTTGCGGGCATGCTTTTGCAATTGATATCTCTGTCAAGAGACAAAAGGCACAAAGCCGATCCTTTGGAAATCTCAGATACCTGCACGTCCGATGCGCATAGGTGAAACGAAAAAAAATTAGATTAGAAACGCATGCAAATGATTCTTCTCGACGGCTTATTAACGAGCAGGGAATCTATCAGTTGTACCTCCGGAAAGCAAAACAAGAACAAAAACACAAAAGTAACGACAATAGCAAAATAAGCAAACTTAAAAAACGGACTGATCAATCCTCACTGAAGCAACCGAAACAACTCTGAAATAAACCCACTTAAAACATTTGTTTCACTGTTTTTCGTTCGTAGTGCAAAATGTTGTTTAATGACCATGCAGAAAAAGATTTTGTCACGGATTCTTTTCAGGACGGCAACACGAATTATCGTTAAGTATTACATGATGAACGACATTAAACTTAAAAAGAAAAAAAACTCTGGTAAAGGTCAGAGATGGAATGAGATGATGTGAACTTTAATTTTTGTGCAACAGCTTCTAGAATGTACCAGAGACTATGCTTTTATCTTCTAACTCTCTCATTAACTGGTATTCAAACGTTTTGCTGCCAGATGTGCTTCTAGAATTCGAAGCATCAACCGAAATCGCCTAGGGCTGGTCCTTAAACCTACTACCGAAAAGGCTAATGATTTTTATGAGCTGCGTGTGTCTGAGATAGACAAGAAAAATGGGCCCTGAAGCTATAGATTTGGTGTCAGAAACTATTAGGAAAATTCAGGCTTATGCACCATATGTTCGAGATTAAGACAGGTGTTAAAGCATTACTTTCATTATCTGTTATCAAATCTACGTTGAAAATGTAAATTTCTAAATGAGTCGTTTATTTTCCAATCTTCGAACAGATTTTTTTTTTCGATACGGTGATGCTTCATTTTGAATATAGTGGGCGATTCCCCTGCAACATTTTCGAATATTTGTGGAAAAACTCCTCTGGGAACTCCACAGGAGTTAAGTTTATGCTTTCGACAACTGATTACTATCTCGAGTGCGCAACAGAGATCGTAAGAATCGGCATCTAAAGTGAGGTTAATGGGTTTAGCATTTCTATCTCAAACTCATAACTGAGGGCAGGCTTCTTAGATAAACAGCTGTTGAGAGGTCAGTCTGGCCTGTGAAGCTATTGTTCCTATCATTGGAACTGCTTCCCTTTTCAGTAATTTTTTAAATTTTCCTTTTGCATCTTAAAATAGATTCCCACAGCTATTAAACCAATGAAAACCAAACAATCGTTCAGTACATTCTATTGATTGTACATAATTTGGTTTTATCAGCTGAATTGATCATGTAAATTAACCACTTTTTAGCCCTTCGTCAGTCTAAAAGATTATTTATACAAATTCAATTATCTATTTATTGCGATGATGCTTAAACTGTCTTTGGAGCGCATGGAAGTGTTAGCTGATCTTGGGAGCTAATACATTTAAATTAATCTTGTAGTTATATCTTTGCTTTGATCTTCTTTTATGAACACATCCAAAGCATTACTGTTTCACGCCATTTTGTTCACTTTATGATCAGTGTCCTTTTGTGTGTCCTCATAATGTTCTGCATCAGTATGAGACATTTATGTATTTCAGCGGACAATAGTAATGTTCAAGCTTAGTCGTTTCCAACGTTCATGCATGAAACCTATCAAGGAGCAACTGAAAGTTCTCTATCACGGGATAACATACACATTTTAGTAACATGAGTCCCTGGTGTTATTTCGATTCAAATGTTGTCTTAGAAAAAGGCCCTAGATTAGCAAATACCGCCTCCCCCTAATAACAGTTCTAGAATCTTCCTAATAAGTACATACTTAAACACATGGAAAAGCTAAAACACAGATACATAGATACGCGTAATTAGAAAATTTCAATTCTAAATGGTGCTGAAAACACTACGTAAAGATTGAATTAGAGGAAGATTTCAGCGCCTTGAGCCAGTGTTCCCATGACTCTGACAGAGCGTCTATAAACTATTTAGTCTAAAAACAAAATAAAATAAAGCGCAATGGGTAATGTGCAAGTCTTTTTTTATGGTAGGCTCGAATTCTTTCGTAATACGGTCCTTTGGATATTACCAGATTTGTCAAGTTGTCGAAAAATAATTCTCAGTCGGATAATATTACTGATCATGACCAAGTAAATTCTTAGACTATCACACAGCTTGAACGAGCTTGAAGTTGTAAAGTATGGGATGAATATAGATAAAAAAATTCTACATGTTTAGAAAAAAGACAATTCCCCAGCATGTTGCTATTTTTGTTTAGGTCATCATAAGCTTATCACCTCAGTAAACAGGATTAACGGTGATAAACTCTCTCCCATTCCCGACTTCTCCAAATAGGACATGCTTTCTCCGTTTCGGACCGCTTCCGAGCAGAATTAGGAAAATTGCACGAAAAGTGGAACTGTCGCACTTTTTTTTTTCCATGGTAGCAGTTATGTCCCCTTAAGATTTGGATCCCTAAACTGGGAAAGACAGGGACTTTTGGGCGGGCCAAACTTAACATGGACACAAACTACAACAAACAAATATCTTTGATGATGAATGTGCGATGTGTTACTCGCCCTGATAAAAACAACGCCTAAGCCAGAGGAACGGAGGAAGGATGATGCGAAATTTTAACAAACTTTCAAATCTTGTGGGAATTTGAAGTATCATTTTGTCTCGAATTTCCTTAATTTTGGCATGTCAGTTCAGCGAATCTGGTCTCGGTGAAACCCAAATCATGCCAAGAAAAATCTAAGCCGATTAACTGAATCAATCTGTGGTTAAGTAAGCAATCTCAGAAGATGTCGTGTCAACAGAGAGAAGCTGATCAAGAGGGGAAGAATTCTTCAGTTTCCGTTTATTTGGTAAATATTTTTTTTGAGGGCAACTTTACTCAAATCTGTCGGCAAACAGATCAACGCCCTTCCAATAAATGAACATAATCTAGTTAAAAGAATTATTTTACAGGTCTGTAATGAATGCACAACCGCATTGCTCTCTTTTGAGTGGCTTTCCTGACGAGTTTTCTGGAAAATTCTTTGGGGTTCTTGCGCACTGATGGGTTACCATTTTATTTATTCATTTACAAGTCCTCTTTGTACGAAAAAATTCAGCGATAAAAGAGCAGCTAATAATTGAATAGCATAATTGCAAAAACTACTAGATGGACTACATAAAAATATCGTCTTGAAAATAAAGCGAATGAACTTTAATCGTTTAAAAAACTCAATAATCAGGAATGTCTTCGCCTTATTATTAAAAAAAATATATTCGTGTTAATCCCCACAGATGGTCCGAGAATTACTACCTTAAAAGGTGCTATATTTCATGAAAACTAAAAGGCTTTGAAAAATTTGTTTCAAGATAACCGAATCGTTGAATGTTTGGGTGATTGAAGGTGTTCATAAATCTTGGCCACTGTTTATCACAACAACCGAACTAAAAGCGATTGATCTCAGGCATTAAATTTTTGTTTCGCAATAGATCGTGATAAGTGTAGATTTAATTACAACCGTTTCCCTTTACGGAATTAATTGAGCCATTGAGATATCGTGCTAAAGTGTTTCGTTTAATTTATCAATTCTGTCTCCTCAACAAGCAATCATATGTCATATATCTTCTTGAACAATGGTACCTTAAAATCAGTGAAAGAATATATATCTCCCTCTATGGGGTATTTATATGCCCAACACGAGGTAAAGACAAGTCAAACAAAATCCTTGCCCTCTGATCTCAATTGACCACTCTTCAATCGTGCAAAGCACTCAAAAATAAGACAATACTGGCTTACAACTTGGAGGAGGCTTCC